TCATTGTTGTTTGGCGGGCCCAGGCTAGATTCAAACTCACCACCTTAGGTGTATGTGGCTGGCACCTTAGCCAGTTGAGCCACAGGTGCTGAGCCTCCACGTTCAGTTTCAAGCGCCTTCCCCTTAAACCAAATCCTCTCTTCCTATTACCTATTCTGTAATACTAATCATGTTTTGCCCAAGACACAGTAAACAATCTTCAGTCTGGTAGCTCCAGATGCTAGGATATTCCCTGATAAATGGTGGGGGAACTGAACCAATTCCAATAAAAAACAACAGAATTGGTGTTGGTCCAAATCAGAAAAAAAGGACCACTTCGTTGAGAACCAATGTAGAACATTATACTGTCTACCACCAAACTGTAAAAGGACATAAGCTTGTCATCATTAGCAAGCAATCCTGGAGAAGATGCCTCTCGGGTGTCCTATCAGTAAAAGGATGATGAACAGCTGGAGCAACAGGAGGAGCACCAGATGAGAACAAAACTGTTTCAGTCTTGAGCTGTACTCTGGCTTTGACTCACTGTCTTTTGTCTTAGATGGCTAGAATTTCTCCACGTGAAAAAAAAAAAAGAGAGAGAGAGATCATGCTATGTTATTTCAGTCTTTCTCTGCTCTGGCATTCTACTGGGCCTAAAATTCTGAGTCTAATCTTACTCCCCACCTCCATTACAGGGTTGTAGGGATAAAAAAAGACCATAATTATATATAGCTAACTTCCATCAAACACTTAGGGGCCAGGCATTGTACTAAGCATTTAACACCCTTCACTTTTCAACAATGCCTGTATGTAGGTTACTACTAATTACTGTCATTTCAGATGAGGAAGGTCAGACACAAAAAGGGTTTTTTTAATCTGAAGTCACAAAGCTAAGTAGTTCAGTGGGGGAGTAAGAACCAGGGGCTATGTGCACTCCAGAGCTGGAACTCTTAAAAAAATTTCCTCAGATGGTTTTCATAAAATGTAAGGCCTTAGAGACAAGGATGAAACCAATACCAGGATTCTGGATGTTCAAGGCTGATACTCCACCCTCACCTCCCTATTCAACATTAAAAAGGTGCAAAGATCTACCAAATAAAACTGATATTATGGTACATAGTGAGAGCTCCTGTTCAAAGTTTTAACTTCCTCAAACTAAAATCGAAACGAATTACAAATGTATAAGCTTGGATTTTGTTCTCTTACCCGCATGGTTCTAGCAATACTAAGAGGTTTCATTGTTTCTCATTTATCTTTCTAGGTGTACTTTACTAAACCAAAACTAAAGTTATGGTTTCCTACAGCGACTTCATTGGATTTTTCACATATTCATTTTCTCATCAACGGGGGATGAGATTTGAGAGATGAATGGTGGGGGTGGAGGTGGGTGGGGCTCCTGGGATCCAGTGATCCTCCTGCTGTACCCTCATAAGAAGCTGGGACCACAGACCAGCGCCACCACGCCCAGCTTCAGTAGTTCTACCCTGGGCAAAATTTACATCAGTTTAATTTGGAACCTCGGGATTCTTACCCGTAAAATGCAGCCACGTTTCAGTGGGGTTTTGCGAAGATTCAATAATATGCTGTCTGTGAAGGCGATTTATCATTATAAATTATTATACAAATAAACGTCTTTTTTAAGTCTGAACTCGTTCTTCGTAATAAGACTTTCCCGCGCTGCTCACCCCAGAGCGAAACAAAACTGGAGGCGGGACCCGCGGTTCCGACAGTCCCCACCCCAGCGGACATGCGCAGTGGGCCTCGGGAGCAAAGACTGACGTCTCAGTGGAAAAGTCGCCGCTTCCAAACCGTCGGCTCGGCCGCCCGCCATCGAGGCTGGCGCTCCCCGCACTGCCTGGGGACGGGGGAGGAAACCCAGTTCTCGCCCTCCCACTCCACAACACAACCTCAGTAGGTCTCCCCGCCTTTGCCAGGTTTCAACATGGCGGCCCACACAAGCGCAAACAGAGCGTCCAGGCCCAATTCCTTCTTCCTTCCCCCAGGCGTGGGACCTGTCCCCTCCGAGCCACTCCACTCACCTCAGCAAAGCTCGGGCTCCTTTCCGCGCGGACGCAGGCGCCGGGCTGGGCCGGACCGGATCTGTAGACTGGTAACAGCAGATTCGCCGCAGACGGTGGTTTCCTTTTCGCTCTTAAAAAAAATTAAATGCATGCGTTCAGCATCGAAGGCGGTGACATCTCCGAAGAGAATGAGCTTTCTTTTTCCTTTTTATTTTTATTTTTTTTACACCAAAAGGAATACTGCTAAACAACTGAGTTGAGAGACTATGGAATGTGCAGTTAGTTTGGGAGCTCTGGTTTTCTTCCTCACAAAATGCAGTTCATACGAAGTTTTGTACATTTTCTCAGAGTTTTCCTAACTCCTAGATTTAATACATTCCCTTTCCACTCTAGTAAAACTGTTTTTTTCAAAGCGAGCATCAGAGGGACCACTGATGTTAGAATAATCTGGGAGCTTGTTAAAGAATAGCTTTTTCTGGGCCCAGCTGCAGATCTATGAACTCAAAAAATCTCAAGGAACTTGGGTCTGCCTTCTTAGCTCAGTGGTTAGGGCGCCGGCCACATACACCGAGGCAAGGCGGGTACGAACCCAGTCTGGGCTTGCTAAACAACAATGACAACTGCAACTACAAATAGCCGGGCGTTGTGGCCGGGCGCCTTGTGGTCCCTGGTACTCAGGAAGCTTGAGAGAAGAGAATCTCTTAAGCCCAAGAGTTTGAGGTTACTGTGAGTTGTGACCGCACAGCACTCTACCCAGGGTGACAAAGTGAGACACTGTCTCAAAAAAAAATAAAACTTAAGAAATTTGGATTTTTTGGCAAAACCCCATATGATTCCTTAAGTGTATGTACTGAAAGGCCCCTGCCCTTAGGGTCACAGATAAGAATCCCAGATTTTTTCTTTAGTATAATACATAATTTAAATTAATTTTTAAAAAAAAATCCCAGATTTTTAATCTGGGAGTGAGAGATTAAGGAGGGGGTTGTGTGATCCATAAATACTTGTAAAATGGACAGATCTGTACATTCTGATTATGTTTTGTTTTGGATGGGTCAATATATTCTATTAGACTTGATCAATATAGATCTATATTAGGGTGTGTTATAACTTGAAATTTGTCAATAAAATCATGCTTTCTTAAATTTGGTTATGGGTATCTTGCAAAATTCCTCAGCCACTCATTTTCTGAATAATCCCTCACCTGTGTGTGATTTCTGCTGATAGCTCATTTCAATTCCAATCTTTTTTTAATTAATTTAAAAAATCTCTGTGTTGCCATTAGGGTCTCACGGAAAAATGATGTCATGGAGAATAAGCATGCTTATTGAAATTGTTTTAAATAAAGGTGACCATTTGCTTGCTCAGGCAAAATGCTGAGCTTCTTTATTTGTGGTTGGTATATATAGGGAATTTTGTACATGGGCACAATACAGCAATGACCTCATTGATCCATTTAAACATCATGTGACTACCTCATGATTAGCTTCCGATAATCCACTCAACATACACCTTTTGACATAACCCTTTCAACATAACCCAATTTAACATACCTTAATGGAAAACATGTTGTTAGCCATTACTTCTTTCTTTGTATCTGATAAAGCCTGAGGCTATGAAGTAACAAGGTAGATTGAATACCTGCCCTTGTTGGCCTTGTCACTTGGATGCTGTTACTTTGGATCTTTAAACAAGGCATAAAGAAACTTCTTGGGCATACAGGGATTTGTGTGCAAACCTCTGCTCCCATGTGGGCTTTAAGTCAGGGGTTTTTGCTGGAAACTTTTATAAAGAATTTTTAGGCTACACTTCTCAAAAGCCTTTCATGAGCCCAGGTTTCATCTGTGCCATTAGATACGTGTATGCATTGGGTAAATTCCTCTGCTCTTGAGGTCCCCGAGCACATTTCCATTCCCGGACCTGTCAGTAAGTGACCTTCAGTACTTACCACAGGTCATGAAAAGTTACTGATGGGTATCTGGCCAGTTTTACAAAAGGCTTTTTTTTTTTTTTTTGAGACAGAGCCTCAAGCTATCCCCCTGGGTAGAGTGCCATGGCATCACACAGCTCACAGCAACCTCCAACTCCTGGGCTCAAGTGAGTCTCCTATCTCAGCCTCCCAAGTAGCTGGGACCACAGGCGCTTGCTACAGCACCTGGCTATTTTTTGGTTGCAGCTGTCATTGTTTTTGGCAGGCTTCGGCTGGATTCGAACCTGACACCTTAGGTGTATGTGGCTGGTGCCTTAGCCACTTGAGCCACAGGTGCTGAGCCCCAAAAGGCTTTTTTATTGGCCTTATGAAGTCAACCTTAATTCCTTAATGCAGTCTAGATATCTCTGGAAATGCTATTCCAGCCAGAGCCTTGGTTATGTTAGGCCCGCAACTAACCTGTCCATATGGGATTCTGCCTCAGTTTCTCACAAGTATGCCTGCACAAAGTCTTTTCACTGCTCTCTCTCAAACAGCTTTTTTGGCCAGAGGCATATAGGCCTTTCGCCTATTCTTCAATACCATAAACTAAGCAATCTGAGGAGAAAAAAGAAATGCTAAGACAGACAGCCGAGAGCAGTGGCCTTGCAGACAGAACAGCTTCCAGTGACTCACGTGAATTCAAATGGTTTTGATTTTATGGTCTGGCTCATATTTAATTTAATTAGAGTTCTTTACAACTTACAGACATATGGAATTTGTGCTGGTTTATGCATAAATATCTTTAGCTTTATTCCAGAAACAATTTGCAAGAAGTGCTTCCTTTCAAACAAGATTTGTTTAAGAAATACCCACTTGGGGGTATTCCTGCTTTTAAAATCTGTTACATCTCAGTACATGCTGAATAAGGTCACTTAGAATTGTGGGAAGGGCACTGGGAGCCAGGCCTGCCTGTTACCCACATGGCTTTGATGGAGCCATTGATTTTCCTCTGTCTCTGAGCCCTCATCCTCTAATGATTTTCAACTGGTGTGCCATAAGAGGATCTAAGGTGTGCCACATAAATTTTTAAAAATCATTAAATTATTTTCAAAAGAAGTTCAAAGCACAGGGGCGGCACCTATGGCTCAGTGGGTATGGTGCCGGCCCCATATACCGAGGGTGGTGGGTTCAAACCCAGCCCCAGCCAAACTGCAACAAAAAAATAGCCGGCACTGTGGGAGGTGCCTATAGTCCCAGCTACTCAGGAGGCTGAGGCAAGAGAATCACCTAAGCCCAAGAGCTGGAGGTTGCTGTGAGCTGTGACACCACAGCACTCTACCAAGTGTGACAAAGTGAGACTCTGTCTCTAAAAAAAAAGAAGTTCAAAGCATAGTA